TGAATAAATGCACCGTCTAGTTGGAAAAGCATTTCGTGTCGCACGTTGATAGGCAGATCCTCGATAACATCCCATAATTCGTTATTAAAAAAGTTAAGCAATCGCTCAGCATGTGAGGTAGTGTAGAAGAAAAACGAAAAAATTATTCATCTAAAATTCAGCACCACACATTAACTTTTTGTGAAAAAATTCGGACTTTGCGTAAAAATTTAAAAGAATGCCAACATTTGATTTTTTACTTTAAACTCGGTACATACCGTTAAAATAACATTCTGATCAACTTTTTCCGATATCTCTAACGCATCGCAAAATGTAGCGAATTGCCCCTATGCGCAAAGTCGTAGTAGGCTGGGTTTTTATCTGAAGGTAGAAATGGGTACCCTAAACAATTAAGCTCATAACATTCTACCTCTATAACGAAACTGAAAACCTTGCTTTCTAGTCTATTTCTAGTTTTTGATAAAGTTATTGCAAGTACAATACCTTTTCTGCATAATTTTGATTCAGGATCTCCTTCTATTATTACGACATTTTCGTCAAACTCCTCTTTACAAATAGCCAAGGCAATCAGTTCAGTTTTTCCCGGAATTTCGTAATCTTCAAACAGTTTAATTTTTCTAGCTCCTTGGGCATATGCCGTTGGGCTCGAAAGAACAATTTCTTCATTTCCACATCTTAATACTCTCTGAGGTATGTCCAAGTTAAAGCGTTGATTTTCCATCAGGTTTAAGCCAAGTATAACATTATCCATAATATCCGCAACAAGAACCAGGTGGGTAAAGGTAATACTGCCTAAGGTAAAAGTTGCCAAATGCGTACCTTTGATGGGTATATTTTCTCCATTTGCTGATTCCAAGACATAGTTCATTCCAGTACTTCTTCTTTCACTCCGATGGCGGCAATTAAAAAGTACATCGTAACATTGACAGTCGATGGTGGGGCTTGGTAGCACCTAGCCAGCGGCTTCAAATTGGCATAAATATGTGGACCATGCGACTTTACCATCGAATGTTTGCGGCTTCAGTTTACTGCGGCTTGAAGATTGCGCCTCAATTTTTATTGTATCAGATCCTGCATTGTACCTGGTTACTTCTTGTCTAATTTTGATTATTTTTTCTTCCACATGTGCGTGAAGTCGGCAGATATTTTCATCAACTTTGTCTTGAAAGTTTATGTTTCCATCTCTAACATCGTTCTGAAACTTCGTATTGTCTTCCTCAATGTTCTTTAGTTTGTCTTCAACGGTTGTCTTCAGGTTTTCAAATTTCTTAGCATTGTCGTCCATTTTATTCAGCATCTCTTTGTATTTGTCAATCATTTTGTCCATTTTCCTACTGTTGTCGCTCATTTTGTCCATCGTTTTCCTACTGTTGTCTTCCATTTTAACATTCATTCTGCTCATTTCGTCTTTCATCTGCTTGAGCAGTGCAATCAAACTGGGGTTCTCCATTGCAGGGTCTTCCTTATTTGATTTACTTCTTGTTTCCATCAAAATTAAACTGGGATTCTGGTAAATCCCACTTCTGACAACAAATGTACCGGGGATGGCCGAGTATCAAACTCTTTCTTCAGCTTCCAACTTTTATTCAACTCGGTATCACTTTAAATACGGAAGAGGAACAAACTAACTTCTAAATTAAAGTCAACTTCACAAGCAATAACAATAACAAACGGAAAAGTCGGACTTCCGACTCGCGGGTTTTAACCTCTTCTGAACTCGGTCGCTGCTGTCACTTCACTGACTCCCCATGACCTGTGCGTGGATGTTTAACAGACTTAGCCATTTAAGGCCTTGAGTCTTTTGTGCTGGAACCTCGAGGATACCTGGGTGAGGGTGATGGGGGGTTTGCTTTTCAGCGGAGGTGTGCTGTGTTTGTGGTCGTTGTTTTGGGCGGTTTTGTGGCTTTTGAAACTAACGGGGGGAAATTTACTTTAGGCTTTTAGGCTCCAGGAAGCAAATTGCGCGGGGGGCAAGTTGGGGGGCTTTTGGGAGTCAAGCGTTTGTTGTAGGGGGATTGTTGGTCAGCTCAGCTACGGTGGGTGGTACCAAGGGGGGTTTGCCATGAGGCTAGTTGGTGTACGGAAGTTATGTTTTGGGATTTTTTGGGCGAAGGTGGATTTGATAAGGGGGTTTGGATTTGATAGGACGCGGGCTTTGAACTTTTCGTGAAGCCTCGAAATGAAGTCCTCAATGGTTGCCATTTCGAGGTTTGCGTGAATCTGGGAGTTGCGTACATACCAGGGGGGTCTCGTCATTCGCCGGAGGATTTTGTTTTGGAATCTTTGGAGCTTGGTAATGGCAGATTTGGAGGTTTGGCTAAGAATAGGGGCAGCGTAACAAATTTGGGATCTGATGACCTGTTTGTAAATCAGAATTTTGTTTTTAAGGGAGAGGGTGCTTTTTTGATTTAGAACTCCAGTGGAGCCCTTGTCCTGGGCAGCAATCGTGGCATCTTGAAATAGCCTGGCAGCTTGCAGTACGGAATCAAGTTTTTGCATGAAGCCGAACTACTCTCGAGGAATTAGCTGGTGTTCGGAGATTAGATCATGGAGGCGGCTTAGGAAGAGTTTTTCGGTGATTTTGGAGAGAGAGGATAGGAGGCTGATGGGCCTCCAATTTTGACTGACTCCCCATGGTTCTCATCGCCGCTTATAAGGTTTTCTCCAGCTGACCCTGACGGTGCTCGAAATCTCCAGACCACGTGCGAAATTTCCCGCTTGTCAGTGTCATATTTGACAGTAAATGGGGCTCCCATTTACCGAAATACCATGAATTTCGATCTCCCCATTCCAAACGTGAGTTTACGGCCATTTCCGTTACAATATCTTATAATGCATATTTTTTCGTTCCTAAATATACGGAAGGCATTGAAAATCTAAAAGCTGAAAGCAGGTAGGCAGGTAAGTAAATAGAAGAATTGCCAAAGGCAGAACAATTGGGAATTTCTAAGTTTAACAAAAATCAGCATTTTCAAATATCAAATAGCTTTTATATTACCTCATTTTGAAACCTCGCTTCTAAAAGCATTTTAAAGTCCATATCCTGCATTTTCAGGCGGGAATTTGGCAAACTTTAGATCACCTAATTTGCAACTGGAATGATAAATGCAAGTATTTGATCAGGATACGTTTAGAAAAATTATTTTTTGTTTTAGTTGGGCAGACTAAGCATTATAACTATTATAAGCCGCAAATCTCATAAAGAAGGGCTAGGTATTAGAGATTCTTATAGACTTGTCTTTAGAGTAATTTTTAATTTTGCCGGTTGAATAAAATTGAAACAGAACTTATACCTATGAAGTATTTTTAACGGAGAATCAAATAAAACCAATAAAAAGTTTGAAACGTAATACATTTGAAATCACATTTGTAACCATTTCGTTGTCATTTTTTATTGTCACCCGGCAAGGAAAAATCATATACAAAATATTAACTTAAAAATTCGTAAACTAATTTATACATTTTATCATCTAAGAAATTGTATGCCTATCAATTTTTTTAAAATATTGTGTATATCCTTAGCTGAATCAGTCACCATCATATGGTATTTCATTATGGGTACTTTTTCCTCTTTCCTCTTTTTCTAGTACCCTAAGTACTTTAAACATCACTCAAAGTTGCCTTTTAAGAGTAATTTTTAAAAAGCCGCCCAGATTTTCGAGAGACTTACTTTATGAAGAGGCACAAGTATTTACAATCAAACAATTGTATGCTAAAAATGTCCCTATCTTTGTTCATGAAACTCCTGCATTACGACAACACCGAGTGAACTCACTTCACTATACTAGAAGACAGGCTACAGAATCTGTTACCATCCCCTTTCTCACAAAAACAAATACGCAAAAACTTCTGACATATTTTGGTCCTAAACTTTGAGGTTTTTGCTGTGGTGCTGCGAACAAGGGCGGATCCAGGGGGGGGGGGTCATGGGGAAGACATCCTCCCCTGTGCTGGGTTTACGGCGACTAACGCTAATTTTTCTAATTTCATACACAACAAAAGTCTGAATTTCTACTGCTTGACCCCTCCCCTGACTCAAAAGCTGGATCCGCTCCTGGCTGCGAAGGTAGTTAATTATTATACATATTAAATGTAAATGTATCTTCTCAACTATTGATAAATTTTGTAAAATAAGTAAAGTTGGT